AATATCCATGGATAGATAACAGGATTGGCTTCTGGCAGCCTAATTCTCATTTCACTACCCCTTGAGCCCCGTGATCCTGCCTCGACCCAAACAAATGCCATCACACTGGACGCCTTTCTAGATTTCATTGTCATGTATCATTGCTACGTGGCACCAGCCAAGCCATCCATTGCTCAACCAAGCATGCAGCCCCTGACACCAATTCTCCCGCTATTTTGCTCAACCAACGAGCCGAGCCATTGACATCGTAAATTCTTCCACTCACGTGGCCTGCGTCTCTGCCATGGACATTTGGTTGCTATATACGACATGTCCATCTCTTGTGATAGCAGCTGTAAGGGGCATGCATCCGTCCATGCAAGCTGGAAACTATCATTCGTGTCCGTTTACCTTCCCTTGTACTTTTCTTTCCATCCACCCTTTTCAAAAAGCCAAAGAGCCTCAGTTGCATATGCGCGGCTGCCTCTATGGCCACCCTCACCCATAGCCGCCTCCATTAGACTCTGCAACACTCGGCCCTGCTTAACCGAGTTCCACACTCCCATGGCGACGGGATCGTCTTCAGTCTTCCCCCATTCTCCATTTCCAAGCCGGTATAGAATTCTTCCAAGTGTTTGGAATGCCATGCATCTTTGCGCTGGGACTGCACTTCTGGCGAGCCGCGCCAGCTCCGCAATGGTGTATCCTGCAGCCTCTGGGGCTTCTCCGTGATGATGTAAACCCTTGGATGAGGGGATAGATCGACTGACCCGTGGGGATAAGAATCGACCCCGAAAGTCAAATCGGAAAGCTGATACCGCGATTTCAGGGTGTGGGTAATAGGAAGAGTCCTTGTCTGCTGGGCTGTCCTGGGTGGGGATGGGAGCCATCCAGGCGAGCTTGCTTGGATCGGCTGGGAGGTTAGGGAAGTATTTCTCATGCAGCGTAGCCAAAAAGTCGGGATCGGAAGGGTCGACATCAGGGAGGCTTGGAGGAGCTGGGAAGTGAACCGACTTGGGTAGATCGGTGATTGGAAAGATATCGGGGGGTATCTGGGCTGGGGCTTGGTCTTCATCGTAGTCGTCTGCGATCTTCTTTGTCGAGACCGCGGGTGACGGGGATGCCTTATTTTCTGAGCCTGGCTCCTTTGTAGATTTTGCGTCTTGCGTCGCATCTTCTGTAGCACTTGATGCCATGGTCTTGGATGTATCCTCGATCTTGATCTCGGGTGGAGGCTCAGGTGCCTGTGGTGTTTCCGATGGCGGGGGATCGAACGGTGACGGGCCAGTCGGCTCATCGATAGTGGCTCGCTGCAATAGCCGTTGGATGAGGGCAGGATTCAGTCCGTTCATGATATCGTTTTGCGCCTGGGCTATCTCGGCGGGGCTCATGCTGGCGAGCTTCTGACGGTTCTCATGATCGATGCGCTTCTTCTCAACGTCCTCAAAGCCCATATTCGCAGTCGAGTTTTGAGATTGATTCACCTCACTCCGGTCCTGGGGTTGTGACCGGGCGCTGGGTGTCTGGCCGGCTGCCTCGGCGGCGCGCTGTTGTTTGAAGGCAGACGACCTCCATCGTCGTTTGTGTTGCGGGAACCCGGTAGATGAGATGGGTTGATCGGAGAACTCGACAGGCTTCTTGTCGCCAGAGTCGCGCTCGACAATATCGCCGATTAAGAGTGTAGGATCCATGGTGTTGTGCAGTCTTTGTCAGGTCGCAAAAGCCAAGCTTAACAATCCGGATTTGATCTTGACGTCTTTTTTCGGTGGAGGCACCGCGGAGAATCTAGAGTGGGGCACGGACTGACGCGACCCCACATTTTCAAAATGTTTGGGCGGATTATCCGCGCTGAGTGCCACGTGAAATTGTGAGATTGGAGAATTCCAGAGGAACCACGAAATGTGCGGGCATGAATAGCACAGGAGATGCGGCTCTCGGGGAACACGAGGAGCCTGATTTGAGCGCAAATATTCACTCGGAGCTTCCTGTTTGAGCGGGTTGGGTGTTTCTCGCATCATTACTCGGCAAATGTCATGCGACATGAGACGGTAAAACGGAGCTGGAATTATCGTGGTCAAGGTTTGGGCTCTGAAACGCGAGTCCCAATTTAGTAAGCCGCCATAATTACGGAAGGATGAGAATGGCAGCACACAACGCAGATGACAGCCAGAAGATGGATGGACGGTAGATGTGAATCTGAAACGAGTATATATCGTGTAACGGAGTTCGTTAATATTGTCTTTTCTTTGGATGCCAGAAAGAAACACTTTAAATGGGGATTAAAATAGCAAGCCCCGGACTGAAGCATGTTGCACCGCCACAGATTGGTGCTGGGGTCCATAGTAGGGTGGGTGCATTAGCGCCGATCGATCCTCCTTCTTTTCAAAATTCCAGAACCCGTGCGCGGCTGGCAATTTCAATACTGTGCACTTTGGGTTGAAAATGTTCCGCCGCAACATTGGGCTGAAAATATTGGAAACTCTGTATGAAGTGTATAAATATGCCCTGATAGGGGATAATAAACGGACAGATAGATCAATATACTTTTTCACTGTTTTCAAGTTACGACATTTGAGTAAATGGTGTGGCCCGTGGGGAACCTTAATCACCCAGGCAGGTGGAACGTAATTTCCTGATTCAAAGACATTACTCGAGCTATTAGTATCGGCACCGTTCAAGGCCATCGGATGTCCTTGGCTTTTTCATTACGCCCAGGGCTTTGCTTTTTATCCGACAGCCCCCTTGGTCGAGCAACAGATAAGATCTCTCTGGACAGGGAAGCACGGGGCACCTGATACGTATGCGAAAAGTGCCGATTGGGCGCTGGAACCCCTGCATGGATGGTCAATCAGCGAGCGACAACAAGGACAGGTGATTCTCACACAACAGTTGCGGAGAGGAATTAGCAGTATGAGTTTTCAAACGCAAGATGCAAAATAAAACTGTACTTTTGAGCTCACTATTCGCCAGTTCGCCTTGCATTAGCGGTTTAGACAGGAAAACTGGACCTCACAGCCACAGATGACCTTCCCGGAAAAAACAAACATGTGGCTGAGTGGCTGCAGCCGCGTTAAATCCCTGTCGACGTAGCGCGCCTAAGCTTGGTTCAACGTTTGGTTCCCGGACGAGACGGTCCACCCACACACACAACTCTCTCATCCCAAGCCCACAAGCGAAAAGGCGCTGCAGGGGGGGGGGGGGGGGGGGGGGGGCCCGGGGCGCGCCTCTCAGGGATGATGGACACGGCGGGTGGGTTCATTGAAGGCTGACCCCGGAGGGAACACGAAAAAAGAAGGGTCACAGGCGCAAGGTACAAGTACCCACTCGTGCTGCCACAGTTTGGAGGTGGCAGCACGTCCCGGGATACAAAGAGGTACTTTCGAGGTGATTTATTCCTGGTGTTTCCCCACGCTAGACCGCTGACCTGCGTTCACCCACAGCTGGCACAGCTCGCAGAAAGGCTGCTGGTCCCCCTGGGCCCCCTGGTCTTTCCCCCTCCGATGTTGCACATGGACGCTTGGGAATCTGAGGTGGGATGGCTTGGCTCTGCACCGGCTCGTACCTCTTGTACCTCTATCCGTGCGTCAAAGCCCGTCTTGTCTCGTCGAGTGTTTTCTCTATCAGGTCCCGTCCCGTTCAAAAAGCATTGCCTGCCTTGCCTTGTGTCTTGTCTTTCGGTTTCCCTCTGGCTGCTGGGCCCTTTTCCCGCCTAGCCCGGCTGCTGCCCGTCGTGTCCTGTTGCTCTCTTGATTGACTCTTGACCCCATCCATCCTGTGAGCCCCGTCCAATTACTTGGCCGACGCCCCCCCTACCCCGTTTCGAGGCTTCTGGTGACGAATTCCCCTCGCATCCGAAGCCGTATCAAAGTGATTTCCTGCCTGGTCTCGCCCCCCTTTGTGGTGGTTTGGCTCCGAATGACTGCGGCATGCCCGTGACGTCCGGCCTATGGTGTTGTTGTCCACGCCCAGCCTAGACTTGACTGTTAGTCTCATGAGGGCACCCTCGGTTGGTCTAATCGGCGTTTAATAATGGAATTTCCCTTGTTGCCAGATGATGCTGGTCCGCCCCCTCGTTTCCCCTCGTGCGTCGTGTCGTGCCGGAGTCGTAGCATTCAAAGTTAGCAGCTCGCTCGCTCTCTCTTGTTGTAGAAGCCCCGTTTTTCTCCTTCCCGCCAGAAAAATAAGAAATGTTGTTGTCGCCCCGAAAAAAAAGGTAGCCATCCCCATCTCATTTCTCCTCCCTTTTTCCTTCTCCTTCTTCCTCTCTCAACCCGCAATCCTCCACCACCCGCCATTTTCCCCCAACGACGACATATGGGATTTGCTCAAATTCATCAATTCGACATCCTTTGACTATCGTAATTATCACCGAATCACCATCATCTGTTGCACCCGGTGCTGCAGCATCACTCGCCAGCCTCGAATCGATTCCTCCCCCGCGTCCGACCCCCCTTTTCGCCCGCGCAACCCGCATCGCCCGTTTTGGTCGTTGCCCAACTCCAACGTCGTGAGGCTATTCAGAGATCCGGACAGCTCCACCGCCCGCACCCGCCTGCCGCTTCTGGCCACTCACAGCCCGTTTCGCTCCGTTACGCTCCGTCACGCTTTTTTTTTCCCGCCTGCAACCAGTTTCTGGCGAGACCCGCGCACCCAAGCTTGGAAGCAATTCTATTCGCTGTACCTGTACCTGTACCCGACCTTCTGGTGCAGCTCCGCGCGACCTAGCGTGTATCCGTACTGTACAACGTACATCCACCGCTATTCGCCGCCTTTTCAATCAACCTTTGGTGGTTTGAATCACAGCCTTGCCCGTTTGCGCGCGACGCCTTGTTTGATTTCCTCTTTGCAGCGCATGCGTGGTTCTTATTTCCTCCACGGGTAATAAGCGCTTTTTTCTTCTCTTTTTGCTCCCCACGATTCCAGGAGCCCTTTTCAACATTAGCACGCGGTGCATTCAGCTTCCGGACGATTTCAAGACCCTGGACTTTTAAACCTCGTTCGTTTCCCATCCTTGCCTCGGCATGGCCGCGACAGCTGCCGACACGTCCATGTCGCGATACGACTCGTCAGCCGGCGAGCTGTCATCGCCGCCCTCGGGCTCCCTCTCAGAGCCTGGCTCTCCATCGCGACAAGCTTCGGATAGTCGCGTCCCCCAAGAATATGACGAGATCGTTGTTGTTTCAAGTGATGGACAATATCAACACATCGGCCGGGGCCATGGACAAGGCCGGCCCCCGCTTCCCCTGCCGCCTCAATCAGGCACCGGGCCTCCCAGGAGATATGCTCTGGTCGACAACCAGTGGGTGCAATTGACGGCTGCAGGTGTCCCGAGAAAGAAGCCCGGCCGCAAACCGGGAACCATTGTGAAACCTAGAAACTCGGATGGCAACGAAATCGCAAAGGCTGCTCGTAAGCCTCGTAAGCCGCGCGATCCCAATGCACCCCCAATGCAGCGCAAACGCAAGATTGCGCCTGCCGATGCCGACAACGAGATTGCTGCCGATTCAAAGTCCCTGGCTGCTGCCGCATCTTCTGCCTCCCGCCAGCCACGTGTTTCGGATGTCTCAAACGTGTCAGCCTCATCGCCCGCTCAACATCACCAGCACGCGGCTTCCGACCAGCGCTATTCGCCCAAGATTCCCAAACGAGAGCACTTTGGTTCTATGCAAAGCATTTTGAACTCGGATCCTCCGGCCGAGCGACCGTCGTCCCAACCGCAGCCCCAATCAAACAATTCCACATCCATGCCTGTTCGCACCAGCGGCCAAAGTTACGACCCTATCCGTGGGAATTACGATCCCGTTCGCGAGACAATGGTTTCTCATAACCCTTACGCCTCTGCTTCTGGTTCTCCTCGAGCTCCTTCTCAAATGCCAAACCGGTCCCCAACCATTGCGAGCTTACTCGGCGGCGGTGATTCTCGTAGCTCATTCCAACCGGCTTCGAATCAGCCCCGTTTCCAAGCACAAGAGCCCTCACAACCATCGTCCCCCTCCAAGGAACCCCAAGCAATTTCTACACCTACACCATCATCACGATCACTTGCGCAGGAGGCCAAAAAGGACCCGCCTCCACCACCACCACCTGTCCAGCGCCCAGTTATTAAAGAGTCTAATTTTACAACCATCTCTAACGGCCCTATCAAGCGGTCATCTCCGAAGCAGAAGCCTCATACCGGAGTTTCAACTCCCAAGACCGACAACCTCGACGACATGCAGGAGAGCGAGGGCCGATCTATTCTCGACTTTGGGCGAGCAAAGCCTGGTGAAGAACTCCAGGCCCCAACCATTGTCCTCAGCGTCCCAATCCAGGCCGGAGAGACAAATCGCTATGTCAACTTTATGCGCATGGCTGAGGATCGATATGGATGGGACGCGCTCCACCCTCGCCTGGCAGCCAACCGGGACCGCAAGGCTCGAATTGCCGCTGCAGCCGCCTCCCTGGAAAAGGCGGAATCTGGCCGCGAATCGGGTGATGAAATGTCCGTTGATCTCTCCGACGCCGAGGCTAGCAACCCCGACAACGGTGGCACCAGCGGCCCCGACGCCCAGGCCAAGCCTAAGAAGAAGCGCAACTTCAAGGAGGATCAGTATGACGTTGATGACGACTTTGTGGACGACTCGGAGCTTCTGTGGGAGGCCCAGGCGGCAGCCAGCCGTGACGGATTCTTTGTCTACTCTGGACCCCTGGTGCCCGAGGTTGAGAAGCCCGCAGCTGGGTATGTATCTCTGGAAGCCGTTAATGTTGATCAGATGCTAATAAACCACAGTCACGAAGGTCCTCCTAAGCGTGGACGTGGTGGACGAGGCAGCCGAGGTGGCGGCAGAGGAGCGTCAACTAGAGGCGGAGCTGGCAGTGGCCGTGGAGGAGGCCCTGGATCTCGCGGAGGCTCAGTGACACGAAAGCCTCGCATCACCAAGCAGGAAAAGGCGCAGCGCGAACGCGAAAAGGCTGAGCGTGAAAGCCTGGCACAGCTGGCTAAGACCCCGACCCATGGCTACTCACTCAACCCGACCACTCCCTCGTTTGCCGTCAGCGAATTGGGCGCTTAGAGGGCATTGAATATGGCCCCAAACGAATTACGCAACGACGAAGCCACATAGCTTCTCACTTTCAAGGCATGACCTTAATGAAAGGGCTTTGTCCCTGGCTCGCTGCCGTGTACAGGCATCCTCGATACCTCACTTCAGACTCGATTCCGCCTTCTTTTCTTTTCTTTGTTTTCATATTCCTGCTTTGCGAAGCATGGCTGGCCCGGCATGGCCTCCTCTTTTTTTCTTTTCTTTCATGTTTCTTTGAACTGTTGGAGAATCGGCGCGTGTGGGATTTCGCATGTATGAAGGGAGAAAACCTACCAGGTCTCGGAATCACGGCGTTCACTGGGTTGTGGATGGATCGATGCAACATGGCAAGAAAGGCACGAAGTGAAGAAAGGATGGGGAGGAACTTAGAAGGGATGGGGTTCGGGCTCCTTTTGAAAGGACGAAGGGCGATGAGGCGTCAACAGTGAGCCACACAGTCTCCCAAGCGAGGAGGCTTATTTCCAGGGGCTAGACAGATGTGTTTAGAGTAGGCGTTGAGTTGAATGAATGTGAAGATGACAAGACGACAGACGTCTGATAATGAAGCACGTTGCGTGACATGTTGTGACGCCCTATGTGAATATCTTGGCGAGGTTCAAGATACTCCTCTTGTGCGCTTTGATAACTATATTGATAGAGTTTCTGCAACCAATTCTTGTCATGTCTTGAATAAATCAACCAACCTTATCCAGTTGGCACTAATTGGACTCTTCTTTAAGTATCTTGGCTAAATAGCCGCTGATATATGGCCTCAGAGCACACACAACAGAGACAGCAAGGGCCTTCTCTGCAAGTACATGCGTCCACCAAGTCGCTTTTTCTCTTTGTCCTATGCTCATCTCCTCGTGATTCAACACCAAAGTAAACCAATCACTCCTCCTATTTCTCTCTGCATCCCCCTCTGCTATCTCAACGTCTCCAAACCATCTGTTCAACTCTCAAGAAAGAAGCTCTCTTATGCCAGAGTAAACTCGGAAACCTCACCCATCTCGTTGGCCTGCTGATCGCCGACCTTGTAAGAGGCTCGCCATCGGAGCTTGGCCGAGGTGACCTTTTGGGCGTGGTTGCCCGCGTGCCAGACCTGGACTTCTTGGGTGATGCCCCGGGCCTGCTTGGGGGCGAGGTCACGTCCAGTCTGAGGCTTAAGTTGAAGCTCGTAGCCCTAATATCGGGTTAGCTTGGTGTTCTAGAGAGATGGTAAGAGCATACATACCTTAGTTACGGCAAGCTGGAAGTGAAGCTCGCTGATGGGTGTGGCTACGTTGTTGGAAAAGGCAAATACGATATTGATGGCGTTGGCGGCGGCAGGTGACCGGATGGCACGAAGCTCGATACGGAGGTTCGTGTTGCTGACGGTTGCCTGATGTTCCTTGGGCTTAGCGGGCTCAGGAGGCAGCGCTGAAGAGAAGCTCCATTCGTCGTCGTCATTGGAAGCGGCCGGAGCCTGCGGTGGCGCAGGAGACGCCCGTTGAGAGCTGGAGAGGCCGCCACCGAGGGCAGCAAAAGGATCAGAGGCAGGCTGGGGCGGAGGAGCGTGGACGGACTGCTGAAGTAGAGAGGGCTGCGGTGTAACTGATTGGGACACGGGCTGCGAGAAGGAGGCGAATTGCGAGAAAGGGGGAGGAGTTGGTGTTGACACAGGACCCTTGGCCGAGTTGTCCTGGGTAAGGGAAGAGAGCAGAGCAGGGCCGGGGATGTCTAAGATGGGGTTAGCAATCTGATATAATCCATTATGGCTGTTCCGAGTTGGACACTTACTCTGATTTGCGCCGAACCCAAGAGCGATACCGCCGCCTTGTCCAAAGCTGCCCGAATCTCCTCCAATATCAAGTCCAAGAAGATCATTCTCGATACCAGCAGTACCAGAAGCTGGCGCAGGGGTGCTGCTCGACTGAGCGCCATTGCCATTGGACGCGTCGCCGTCAAAGTCAATGAGCGACAGCTCGTTGGCCGCACTCGATGAAGCTGCCGCAGCCCCTGAAGTGGAGGGAGGAGGAGCACCAGCAGCAACCTTGGCCGCACCCGCCAAGTCGCCCTTCTTCATCAACTTATACCGCTCCACCGTCCGATGTATGCTGTCATTAATCTCCAAGAGTTTGGCCACAGCCTCGTGGTCATCCGACTCTTCCTCACACATCTTCTGGATCTTGGGTTGGGCACTCTGAAGGGCAGCGGCCAACTCGCTAAAGACATCACCGTCCTGCATCTTATCGCCCTCCTGGAAGGCCTCCAACCGCTCCTCCAGTAACCGCGCCTTGGCCTGGATCTTGCCGACCTCCTCGGCAGCCTTTGCGCGGTAGTCTGTCTTGGATCGCGTATCGTAACCGGCCATGATCTTCATGAGACGGTTGGCCTCTTGGAGATCCTCAGGGGTTCCCCGTCGGATGAGTTCTTGAAGCTTGGCCGATTGCGCCTCACGCTCCTCTTCTTCCATCTCCTCGGCGGATTGTAAATTCTAATGAACAGGGTGAGCATGATGTATAGCTGATTTGGGTGATTGGTCACTTACATCACTGGGGTTAAGAACAGCAGCATCTTCTCTCCGCACTTCGGGAAAGACATAACCCTTATAACTCAGCAACCGATGCATATCCCTAATGAAGCCCAAATCCTCCTTGTATCGACTCGTCTCGCATATCGTTCCTCGCCACTCTTCAATCGCCTCGAGTATCTTGGCCTGCACACGGGTCGGCCGAATCGGGGGCCGTTCCGGAAACCTCCTGACAAGCTCATTGAGAAACTCTTTGGTGCCGATCTGCAGATGGAAGGGGTATCCGCAGTTCTTGACGCAGATATCGAGCAGGCCGATGGCCAGCAGGGCAACGTTGGGGTTGCGGTTGTTGATGTATCCGACAATGGCAGTGGCGGCCTCACGAGGAGCGCTGCCCTTTTTGGAGTTGATCAGGTCCGAGATCTCGAGGTTGAGGGCGAGATTGGGCTCGTAGTTCTCGGGACTGCAGGCCGCCTGGATAAAGCGCTGCAGCTGTGAGGGGGTACGGCCGGAGCCAGCATAATCCCCCCAGCGGTCGCGAGCCCCGGCGCGAGCAGAGGCGGCCTCCATGGTGTATAGCTGGTGGTGAAGAAGCGATATGTATGCGGAAGCTATTCGAGCAGGCGGATCGGATTGCGCGCGCTGGCTAGACGGTAAGACACAATTCGGATACGAGAATGAGCTGGTCGTAAGGCGGAAAGAGGCCGGCGGGGGAGGAAGGCAGGGTATAGAGCTCGAGGCCGATGGGATGTGGATCAGGCTGTTGGAATGGAAGCCTGAAGCTGAAGTAGTGGTATCAAGGGAGCGAACAGGTTGAAGCTGCTAACCCCGTGACCGTCGCTGGAGCCTGTAGCTGTCGAAGCGGTTGCAGGACTCGAGTCGACCCGACCTGAAGCCAACAAACAAGGGGGTTATTGAGAGACTGACAGCTTGCGCTAAAGAGGCACCCAACGTGGACCTGGACCGTGGATGGACATGATGTGCTGAGAACGTGGCACTGTGGCTTCCGCCGTAATTAGTGGAGAGCGGAGAGTGGCTGCAAGGCATCGGTGCGTTGAATGATCCGTTCCGATGATTGATACCAATTACAGCGGGCTTCCAGGGGACCTTGGTGCTGAAAAGAGCTTCCCGCCGGGTGCTAGGGACCCCTGACGTGCTGCAGCTCATTACCCTCCACTATTTGCCCCTCCATTGAACCCCGCCATGATTCTAGAGGTCGAAACCTGATACAGAAAGAATCTTGGGGAAAAGTAAAAAATGAAATAAATATCGTCACAACATCCATTCTCATCTTGGACTAGCACCCAACAGCTCCATACCATACCTCATCAACTCCCAAGTAGTCTAACCACCAAACATCGATCATGGTCCGTCACAAGAAAGACTTCAACCCCAAGGGAAAGAAGGGAGGCCATGGTCCCCCGCGCCCTCGAGCACCCCGCAACAATGAGGGAGACGGCCCTTCGTCACGTCCAGCCTTCAAGGCCGCCTGCTGGGACCTTGGCCACTGCGATCCTAAGCGATGCTCCGGAAAGAAGCTCATAAGGCTCGGTATGATGCGCGACCTCCACCTCGGCCAGCGCCACAACGGTGTCATCATCACCCCTAACGGCAAACACGTCGTCTCCCCCGCCGACCGCGAGCTCATGGATCAGTATGGAGCTGCTGTTGTCGAGTGCTCTTGGGCGAGGACGAAGGAGGTTCAGTGGAACAAGGTTGGAGGAAAGTGTGAGCGCTTGCTGCCTTACCTCGTCGCTGCGAACAACGTCAACTACGGCAAGCCCTGGCGGTTGAACTGTGTCGAGGCTCTGGCGGCAGCTTTCTATATCTGTGGACACCCGGACTGGGCGGAACAGATCCTAGAGCCCTTTTCGTACGGACCATCATTCCTCGAAATCAACTCTACCCTGCTTAAGCGGTATGCCGCATGTACCGACGAGGCGAGTGTGAAGAAGACTGAGGAGGAATGGATGGAGCAGCTGGAGAGGGAATACAACGAGAGTAGGGAAGAGGGTAACGATGATATTTGGGCCACCGGGAACACGAACCGACGACGCATGGATTCCTCCGACGATGACGATGACGATGATGAAGAGGATGATGATGATGATGAAGAGGGTTCCAACAAGGACGACGAGGATAGCATAGATGGCATATACCTGGGCAAGAAACCACAGAAGCCGAGCGCCCAAGAAGAGGAAGAGGAGGAAGAAAAGGACCGATATGCAATATCCGACGACTCGGACGAAGAAGACGCCATGGCCGAGATCCGTCGCAAGGTCCTCGCCTCAAAGACCTTTACAAACCCCAACAAAGACGACGACAAGAAGCCCGCTACCATCCCAAACCCCCACCAACAGCAGCAACAGTTCAAGCCTACCACAGACGTTCAGCCAGACTCGGACAATGGTGACAGCGACGAGGATGAGGATGATGAGTTTGACAACATCATTGAGGCTACTCCCGTGACGGACCGTATTGGCTTGGCGAAGCTGGAGAAGGAGCGGTCTCAGGCTACGGTCACTACGAGGACCTTTTCATCAAATGCTGTTGGGGCGCCGTATAGACGGTGATATGGGGAGATGTGTGAGAAAAGGGGGCCGGGTTGGTGAGCTGAGATGGGCTCGATAAGATCACAAAACGAAGTCCATGTTTGCTGTGATTTACGAGAACATGAAAATCTAGGCATAAAAGTTGGAAATATGAATCATGATCTATTAATCTCGACATCTTTACATGAATATTGAGATTGTGATATATATCGCCTCCATCCATACCCCCCTTTTCATACATGACCCCCTTGTTCCCTTCATCAGACCATGCTTCATTTAACTAGTCATACATGCCGCCCTCCTCTAAGGAAGAGTCTATACTTTTGTGATTTCGTACACCCGATAACCTTTTTTTACACTTGTTCTTACAATGTGCGCTTCTCCTTGAGGACCTCGTATGTCTGGATCTGATCATCGATCTCGAGGTCTTGGAAGTCTTCGAAGCCGATACCGCACTCGGTGCCCTTGCCCATCTCCATGACGTCCTTCTTGACGTGCTTGAGCGTGTCGATTTTGCCTAGAAATGAGTTAGCACATGAACGAATACTCCAAGTTGGGTCCCCTTGATAGATACGAAGGGAAAAGGGGTTCAATAGGGGACAGAAACTCACCGTCATAAACGACCTCGCCGGCTCGGATCACCTTGACCATCGAGGTACGCTTGATGGATCCGTTGCGAATCTTGCAGCCGGCAATGGTCTTTTGCACACGCTTCTTGACGTTGATGGTAAACAACTGCAGCACGTCGGCCTCGCCCAGGACCTTGTGCGAGATCTTGTAGGGCAAGAGGTCCGAGAGGGCGGCCTTGACGTCGTCCACCACGTGGTAGATGACGCTGTGGTCAATGATGCGCACGCCCGCCTCGTCTGCGCGGTGGCGGATGTGGGGGAGGACTGTGTTGTTGAAGTTGATAATGATACTCTTGGACGCCGCCGCGTGGTCGACGTCGTACTCGGAGATGAGGCCGACAGAGGATCGCAGGATCTTGGATTGGACTTCGTTGCTGCCCAGCTCCTGGACGGTGCCACATACCGCTTCCACCGAGCCAGCCACGTCGGCCTTGACGATGAAGTTCTGGAACATGATGCCAGGCTCCGACTCTTCGGGTTCTGCCTCGATGCCCTCAGCCTCCGCAGCAGCGGCTGCCTCTTCCGCTGCGGCCTTCTCGCGCTGACGATGCTCCTGCTCGGCAAGCTGTTGCGAGCTCTCCTCTCTCTCGGCCATCTCCTGACGATACTCAACCGCCGTCTTGGCCTTGCTCTCGTCAGGAGCCTGGATGACCTGTTCACCAGCCTCAGGAAGGTCACGCCAGCCGAGGACCTGGACAGGGGTTCCAGGTGGTGCCTCGGGAATATCAGCACCAGCCTCGTTGCGAAGGCCACGGACCTTGGCCCACGTCTTACCGGCGACAATGTAGTCACCAAGACGCAAGGTTCCTCGCTTGACGAGAACCGAGGCGACCTTGCCAGTCTGTTTGACACTAGACTCGAGGATCCAGCCCTCAGCCATGCCGTCGGTCTCTGCGCGAACGTCGAGGATTTCGGACAGTGTGACGATGTTCTCCTCAAGGTCTTCCATGCCCTTGCCAGTCTTTCCACTGACTGGGACAACCTGAACATCACCTCCAAACTCCTCAAGCTCGACTCCATTGCGGGAGAGGTCGAGCTTGACCTGTTCAACCCGAGCGTCCTCCTTGTCGATTTTGTTGATGGCGACAATGATGGGTACCTTGGCAGCTGTAGCGTGCTTTAGGGCCTCGATCGTCTGAGGCATGACACTATCGTCGGCGGCCACAACTAACACTACGATATCGGTGACGTTGGCACCTCGTTGACGCATGGACAAGAAGGCTGCGTGGCCTGGTGTATCAAGGAATGTGATTTGCTTCCCAGATGACATCTGAACCACAAAGGCACCTATGTGCTGGGTGATACCACCATGTTCCTGAGCAGCAATTGACGACTTGCGTAGCCAGTCAAGGAGAGTTGTCTTTCCGTGATCGACGTGACCCATGATTGTGACCACAGGAGGACGACTAGGCAACGAGGATGGGTCCTCTGCCGCAGGTCGAGGCCGTATATCTCGCTGAGAACCAGTATCAACGGTGGGATCAAATCCATACTCCTGAGCAACGAGAGCTGCCGTGTCACCAGTCATGATGGTGTCATTGGTGAGCTCTTCGAAGCCCATGGTCTCGAGGTCATGCAGAAAGTCTGAATTCCGAATCTGGAGCGCCTGTGCCAGGTTGGCCACGCTGATGTACTCGGGGAGGAATATGGGCACTGGCGCATTGTTGGCCTCTTCCTCAAGACGCTTCTTGGCGTCCTTTTCAGCCTTCTTGCGCTGCCTCAACTCATATCGGCGAACGGAATCCTCATCCCAGTCATCGTCATCCTCCTCCTGCCGTCGCACATTCTTCGTGCGCTTGCCCTTCTTGCCTCGTCGATCATCAACCTCATCCTCGACCTCGAAACGGGACTTGCGCTTTGGTTGCTGCTCCTCCGGCGTTTGAAGATCCTGAGACCAGAAATCTTGGACTGCACCAGGCGGAGCTTGTTGACTGCTAGATTTAGAGGCAGTGCCGGGTTTGCCACGGAAGCCGCTGACTCTGGTCTCGAGTGCGTCCCAGAAATCACCACCCTTCTCCTCAGTGCTTTCGCTTGTCGTTCGCGCGGCACGCTTCATCTCTCCCCAAGCAGCCTCCCCAGTGGGCCTCTCGGGTGCCTTCTCTACTGGCTTGGCCCGTGGCTTTGGCTCGCGACTTGGTAGTTGCGTGTCGACCTTGCGAGAACTGAAAGCCCCCCAGGCAGGGACAGCAGGTGTAGCTGGAGCAGCTGGTTTTTGAGGCTCATTGCTGGACCAAGCCTTGGGCGTTGCCACTGGAGCGGGCGTACGGTCCGTCTTGAAAGCCTCTGCAAGAGCCGACGAAAGAGCAGCCCTGTTTTCGGCCCTGTCTTCAGCCTTGTTTTGGCGCTTCTGCTTCTGCTTCTTGCTCTTCTTCTTCTTGTCATGCTCCTGACTTGCCAAGGCTGTTTGGGGAGGATCGGGGACCTTTGCGACGGGAGCCGGCTTCTTGGGGGCGAGTCCCATCTTGCTACGAGCTTCGAGCTCATGAGGGAGAAGTGAGGTCGGTTTGGGGGCGTCAGATGTTGTTTTGGCGACTCCAAAAGAACCAAAAGACCCTACTCCAGCCCCAAATCCTCCAGGAAAACCAGTGCCCGGGAAGCCTCCCGGTTTGGGAGGGGATCCGTTATCGTCCGGCCGATGAAGCGGGGAGCTCGTTGAAAGGGCTCGCACGCCCAGAGACTGCGTAGGATGGCATGGTAATAGCCCAGGTGTCCCGGCTGGTATTATAGAAGTTGATACATGGCGATCTTTGAGCTGTGCTTCCCTCGGCGAAAGCTTGAGACGACAGTAGGCGCAAACGAAGGAATTACCGCGTCCCTAGAACTAAGTTAGACAATTGGCAATTGAGAGACCATCCGACGTATTCACCTGCAAGGCACGGGCTCTCAACATTGCCACGATAAGGGATTGACAGACTGGGGGCAAGTCTGTCTCGACATTTGGCGTGATGGTGGGTAGTGCTCAGATCTCGAGCTTGAGTGCCATTCATCATCGGCTCGGCAGAAGCAGACCCGGCTTTTTTTCAGCCACACCCAGCGGCGTCGGCATTGGGATTGTCCGCCACATCCACAACACCAATAGGGAGCAGGTGATTTCAATAGAGGGCAATGAATGAATCAAAACAAGAGGTAAAATTGCAAAATTAAATGATCCTGAGTTATACGTGATCGTGTATGCTGTATGCAGTTTTGGAAACTTGGCCCGGCTCAATTGATGCGCGCATGGGCAAGAGACACCTGTTGGACATGACAAGGTCTGTCCTGACATTTTTGTGGACCACTGTCGCTCATCTCTAGGCAACACATCTCACAACACTCTAACACCCGCACTCTCTTTAACCTCCAATAACTTCAACCTCCAACGCTCAATCCAGAGCCAAAGACCATCCAATATGGCTCCGAAAAAGAGAGCGGCCAAGTCAAAACCCGCCAATTCCTCACCAAAGGATGGCGTACCCCCTTCTCCTTTCAAGAGGCCCCCGGAAGTCCTGGAGCCCTTCATCAGCTCCCTCTCGGAGAAGCATGTCTACATCACGCACGTCGACACCAAGCCCGCCGACCTGAAGCGCAAGATATTTATGGTTCCTGTTGGCATGAACATCGTTGTCGTCTTGCTCTTTGTCTTGCGCATGTACTGGATCGTCCCCTGGTACTGGAAGCTCATCATGACGGGCCTTGGTCATGACAATGAGACAACCTTGAATACGGCCGACTCGACGTGGTCCGAGATTTCTTGGGAGATTGGTAGACGCGCCTTTACCATGATGGTCGACTTTATCCTCCTTATATTCGTCTGGCCCTGGCCTGTCGAGTTCGTCGCCGGACAGGCTCGTGGAAACCCTTGCCAGTGGAGATGGCAGGTTGGCTTCCGCGCAAAGGAGATATACGTGCGCCGCAGCCGGGAGTGGGACCAGGCCATCAAGGATCTCTTTGCCGATGAGGATTCTCAAAAGATCCTCTTTGCCTACATCCAACAGGCGACATCCCCCATGCTCCAGGAGCAAAAGACTGGCTACCTCCTAATGAACGGCCAGTGGGATCTCGACTGGGCGCGCATGATCCTGGCTCACCGCATGGTCGACAAGAAGGAAATCGCCCTGGATGCCTTCAGGAACGTTGTTCTGGTGCACCACCCCGAGTTCGGCTGGATGTCCTACGATCCGCGAGGTCCCACTGCCTCGAGCGAGGACGAGCGACGCCGCCAAGTCTTTGCATTTAGGGATGCGCTTATGGAGCTTGGAAAGGAGGATTTGTTCTATCGCTGGATTGAGATTGTTCAATACGAGGCGACGCAACCTGGAGGCTTTGGACCAGAGAAGCAGGAGGCTGCAGCCAAGAGGATTCGAGAGCTATTTGAGGCCCAGGGCATTGACTTTGATGAGCTGTGGAAGAAGAGCGTTGGACCAATTCCATCTTGAGCAAGGGTGGCAGACAGGCAGAGTCGCATTGTATTATACACTATCCAACTATGTAGAGAATATCACCAAAACCAGGCGACATGGAGCAGCTAAGCAAAAGGAGAAGGGCGCAAAGCTAGTAAATACAAAGAGGAAAAGGGAAACAAAATGCAAACACCAGTTTTGATGAAAACACCAAAAAAGAAATTATTCGCCCTGCTCCCGATCTCTTAAGCGTCGAGACTACAGCGCGCCCTTGCTTTCGCGAAGTATTTGTTTTCACCGGAGTCCAGCCTCGAAAGCTGTCCGTCTAAGGCGGGCGTCCCCGGTGGTCCTTAGCCGGCTCAGTCCAGGGGCTGGCGGTGTTTATGAGAACGGCGCCCGGCACCGACCTAGTTTCGAACTCACGACCCGGGCAGTCCTACCCCGTCGGGTAGCTGGTTCCAAACCGTGAGTTTTACTGCTAGGCCAGTTACCGAACGACCTGTCCGCTGTTGATAGGTGCTCCGGGGTTTTGAATGATAAAGGTAACTGCGTTGGGGCGGGGTTGGCTGCCTGGCAGCTGGCTGACAGCTGCGCACCCTGTCGGCCATCACGAGGGCAGCATCACCGCCTCGGGTAGAGGCGCCACAGCGGGTGGCCCGTACTCGAAGCGAAAGCTGCCCAAAGGGAAAGGGATGTTAGTCCAGGCCAGGCCCGACAACGTCTCTGTCCTTGGTGGCCATGTAAAATGGACAGATGGCAGGATCCCGAGTCAATGACCAGACCACGAGGTACGCCGAACATTTCCAACTCATTTCAACCAGTTGATATGCCTGAGATGCTTGGTCTGATCATCATGAACGCAAGGAGCCATGGTCACTTGACATGATTCCAGAGTGGTATGTCATGCCACAACTTGATATCCAAATAACCCAACCTGCCCAGGCACCCCTGACTTCAGGAGGCAGGGCTAAGCGCGATCAGGGGCAATGACGGGAGCCAAGAGTTGCATTTACACCATGGGAATTACTCAATGATGTCGATGGAAGGATAATTCGATGTGGTTACGGCGACTGTGGCTCGCGAATCGGTTTAGGGCCTCGAATTGTTGGATCAAGGTTTGCAGAGGATATCGGTCGACGGGATGGACATCGGAGGAGGTTTACTAGCAATGAGTACCGTGTTATACCTGCAGATTAGAAATTGGTGCATTTGAAGCATGCTGAGCATGTCCTGGTCACCATCTCATTGAGGTCAATGGATGGCTTGCGGTAAATGTGATGAGATGAAGTTGAAATTGTGTGTGGTGGTGTTCCTTGGCTTTGTGGCTGACTAAGAGCCCAGATTAGCGCATTGCGGCGAGTGGGTGGCACGTGCGGAGAATCCTGGCTCCAGTCCTTTCCTGATGGGGCCATGCTACTTGCCAAGGTACGTACCGTATACGTAGGGCGGTGAAACAGCTTGCGTTTAGAGGGAAACATGAGAGAGCTCCAGAGAGCCAAGCTGGCAGGATGTATTGGGGAATGAGGCTGAGATAAAGGGAGGCTTGGAACTGTAGGTGGGGAGTCGACTATTTACACAGAGGGAGAATGCTGACTGTGCTCTCCCTGAGAAGAATCCTGCGTGAGATCAATCAATCTATCCTGGTCTGGACTCGGCGATTGCTGTTCCTGGATGTTACAGGTAGAGAGTCGTGTGCGCGCTGTCACAGTCTAGATCCCTTCACGCGACTTGAGATTCAAGCTCTTGACCTTGTAAGATGCTTCGGGAACGGTGTAAAAAATCGTGTAAATAAGGGTATTCGTGTTCGAAGTCGATAGACGACTTAAAAGACTCGATATCTCGTATTCTCTTGTCTCCTTCCCTGTATTATCCTCGGCCTCGTTCCTGCTCCCTCCCTTCAAGAGGTCACTCACAGGCAGGCGTCCTATCACGCCCTGCGCTGATGCGGAAAATCCCCCTCGCCGACCGCCAGCGTGTATGTACCTTGGCTCTGCCTTGAGCAGAAACACCATCTCATCAGGCTTCAGCTTTTAGACCAAGGTGCACTCTGCACTCTTTTTTTTGCTCACCACCGCCAAGCCTGCTGTTCTTCCTTCTTACTAGCAACTCTCCAACCCCGTTAGAAGCCGTTGAAGCTTGTCCCGTTACGACGGATCATCGTCGGCTGAGAAGCGACAATCAACCAACCAACCCCTGCTCTAGCGTCCCCCAAGAAGCCAGGTCAGTCAGTAATTTTCTCGCCGCGACATTGACATCCATTTCATTGGCAAGGAGCATCCAAACAAGACAAGACAGACGAGACAGGCCAAAATAGCTTCCTCCTCTGCCCTCGGCTTGCCGTTTCGTGCTGTGCTAGGGCCCCCCTTTGTCTACCTGCTCAACTCAACTGTCACTGGCTGGGTGGCTTCCAGAGCTAACACGCAGACCCAGTCCAAAACCCCTAATTCTTGGGCGCGCCAGCCCACCCCATTCAGCCCAGCCCAGTCCAGTCAATCTAGTTCCCGGCCATCAGATTGCCCCTTCAACGTCGCCTCGACAAAACCACTTCTCCCGAATAGCCTCGCTCGCTCCGACTCGACTCGGCTCGGTTCCTCTTCCTCTCACCGTCAAATACCCCATCCACCCATCCTCTTCGACATGTCATCGGGATTGACGCGACGCCGTGGTGCGGGCGGCGCAGGTCCCTCAGCTGAGGGAGACGCCAGCAACGGTTCCGGCCCCAGAACGAGCACCCCCAACACCAGGGACAGCGGCCCCGAGACGAGCTACGAGAACACCGAGAATGGCCACAAGATCGCATACGACCCTCGAGACATTAGCGAGAGCGCTGAGCGAAGCAAGCAGCCCAAGCTCACCCTTATGGAGGAGGTTCTGCTGCTTGGTCTCAAGGATAAGCAGGTAGGCACATGCACCAAAAATGCTTCAGGGCAGCTGTCCTGTTTTGTCCCAGAAACAAACCCTGATCACAATCACATAGGGCTACCTCTCTTTCTGGAACGACAACATTTCCTACGCCCTCCGAGGATGCATCGTCATCGAGCTCGCCTTCCGTGGTCGCATCGCAATGGAGAAGGATGCTTCCAGGCGACGATTCCCTCTCGCAGACCGCAACATTGAAGTCATAGATGACGCCCTCACCGGCGAGGTCCTCCTCGACGAAGCCCTCAAGATGATGAAGCAGAGCGAAAAGATGAGCGTCGCAACCTGGATTGATCTCATGAGCGGTAAATAGCCCTGCCCTGGCTGACAAGTCTCGAATTCTCCTCGCTAATGACCCCTTTCTTTGGCATGCAGGCGAGACATGGAACCTGATGAAGATCGGATACCAGCTCAAGCAGGTTCGAGAGCGCCTTGCCAAGGGCCTCGTCGACAAGGGAATCCTTCGCACCGAGAAGCGCAACTTCCTGCTCTTTGACATGGCCACCCACCCCGTCGCCGATGGTGGCGCCAAGGAGGAGATCCGTCGCCGTGTCCGCAACATCCTCACCCAACGAACCGTCGTCCTCAACGGTAGCCAGTTCCTCCCCGAGTCGCTCGAGTTCCGTTACACACGAAGCATCGCCATGGTTTGCGCCGCCTACGCCGCTAACGTCCTCGAGAACGCCTTGTCAACCCTTGGCCACGAAGCCCGCGAGAGGGCCTTTGCGCAGACAGATGATCTGCTTGCTGACTACAGCCAGTGGCCGTTTGGCAAGAAGGCTGTGCAGAATGGCATTGGAGCCAACCTCCCCCAGGCGATTGCAGATGTAGGTTACTCTTGACTCACACTCACCACAGAGCTAACATTGTCACAGGAGGTCAACAGCGGCAAGGACAAGGAGCTTCAACTCGAGGTTGTTGCAGCCTGTTTGAGCGTCTTCACCCGACTCGATTCCCTCCTATAGACGTGCTCATCTAGGCCACATGCGTGTCGCCATCATTGAGCATCACGCCTTGGTAACACCCAAACCAACTTCCGATTTGCGCCCAGGCCAAGCCAAACCCTTTCTCTCGAGGCCTCTGTTCCGCCGACCTCACCCGCCTCTATAGTTCTCACGAATTGACGACAACAGCCTCGCCACTCCCGTCAGGGGGAGTATGGCGAGGACCCACGAACCTACATCACCTACCACATGGAGCAATCGAAGGAAATTCCGGGGTCTTGACTTTGGCGCAACGGGACCAGGGCGCAGCTTTCTCTTGACCAGGGCACGCCGAGGACTCGGCTCAACTGCTCTGCCATTCATTGCTGAAGGGCCTGTCATGGATGTTTTACTGGTGGTGTTGGTGGTGGCCCGCATACTCCCGGCCCCCTATGCCCTTTTTTTTAATGTCTTTTTTTGTTCTTCTTCTTTTTTTTTTTTTATCTTGGTCGAGACTCATCTATTCTTCCGTTGTTTTTGGGAAACAAAAAGAAGAGGGACGGAAATGACAGTGTTTATGTATGTATGTGTGTTTCAGGAAGGCAAAGGAAGGGAGGGGGAGGAGCCCATAGGTTGATACGATACGTGAAGCGTACTAAAGCCAAAGCCGTGCTGTTTGTCGTTGAATTTTAGGGGGAGGAGGGAGGAAGGGGTTTCTTCTGGTAAACTGTTGTAATGAGAAGAAAAACAAAAGGGGGCAGATATGCTCCCTCTCTCATGGAACACGGGCGTCTTTTGTCTGACAGAATGGATTCTGTGGTGCCTTTCTTTTCAGTGGTGATGTCGGTGATGGTTACAAGATGGGTGTCAGCGGCAGATATGAGAACATGAGATGGATGTGATCTGAAAGGGGAATTTGCACATCAAGTCAAAGATTCGTTCTGCATTAAACGGCGCGTTCAAGGCACGCTCTCTCATTCATGTTGATCAAGGGGGAAATCGTCCGTCCACTATGTGCTATGCAATACCTTGCTTTACAAAGATGAATCTCTCTGCGCGCCGCTCCGTTGATGCATCAATCCGTCCCCTTTTTTGCTTTTTGCCGACCGGGACTCCTCCAGCGCCGTGTCTTGAGAATAAACAAAGCATAATCAATCTTGCTTTTCTTCAACCCCTTTCGTCTTTCTCGTTGGCATTATGTGTTTGACATGTCATTCCTGAAGCTTTACTTCTTTCGTCCACCGACGCCCAGGCTTCCCTCAAATCCAGGACGGCCCTTCTTCTTAGCTCCGACAGCGGGCTTCTTCTTCTTCTTGCCAGCCTTTCCAAGAAGCTTGTCGTCACGGCGCTTGCGCAGGTTGTCCTCTCGCTTGCGCTGGCGCTCCTTCTGCGCAAGCTTGACACCGTCAGACCGCTCGCGCCAGGCCTTCTCGCTCTTCTTCTTGGCTACCTCCTTGCGCTTGACAGCGCGCTTTAGAAGCGCCTCGTCGTCACGGATCTTCTCGCCCTCGGCGCGGCGGCGGGCCGTCAGCCAAGCATCCTTCTCCTCAATGTCGGCACGCTTCTCAGGGTCGAGCTCCTGAAGGCGCTTCTTCTGGTTCTGCACCTTGATAAGGGCAGTCTTGGCATCTGAAGGACCCTTCTTCTTGCCCTGGCTGAGGACGTAGCTGAGATCGTGCGAGAGCTTGGCTCCATCACCAAAGGCGACACGGCCAAACGTAAAGTTGCTGGAGTTCTCGTCGAGCTCAACAGCAGGGCTTCTGACACCGGGGGAGCTGGATGCCAGAGCCTCCTCGCGCTTCCGCTGCTCCTCCAGCCTAGCCTGCTTGCGCAGCTCCTGCTTATGGGCCTTGCGAAGCTCTTGCTTCCTCCGCCTCGACTCGATGAGCTCCTGGCGTGTGCGGATGGGCTTGCCGTCGGGACCGTCAGCTTTTCGGGCGGCACGTAGGGCATCAATCTTGGCCGCTAGCCGTGCGCGGAGGGCCTCGGTGTCGGCGGGGATCTTGATGTGCTTGGGCTTCTCGGAGGGAGGGATGGTGGATGAGACGGATGTGGTTGCGCTGACAGGCTCAGCGGGAGCCCCAGGGGCAGTTGTCGAAGAGTCAAAGGTGGGAGAGTGTGGCTCAGATTCGGGCATCGAGTTATCGGTAGCCTCATCGTCCTTTTCCAGCCCCGAGATATCCATGGGCTCAACCTCACCATCACCTTGAACAGCTGATGACTCGTCCACCTCCTTTTCCTTCTGGGCCTTGGCGGCAGGACCCTTCGCTTGCTTTTTGGCTTGCTTCTGTGATTTAGGCGTAGGGGCAGGAGCCTCATTGTCTGCGTCGGTGACTTCTGACTTCTTAACCTTTTTCTCAACCTTCTTCTCCTTCTTCTTTTCCTTCTTGGCAGCCTTCTTTTCCTCTTTTCTTGAAGCCTTGGAGGATGTCGCCTCCGGAGCGGTCTTGGCATCTACGTCGTCATCGTCATCGTCGAGCTTCTGCTTCTTGTTGCCTTCGGTCTTTGTCTTGAGGCCCTCGCCGGGCTTCTCGCTGTCGACGCCGGGGACAGGATCGTAGTCCTCCCACTCATCTTCTTCATCTCCATCTTCTTCTTGTTGCATCTCGCGTAGCTTGCGCTTGTTCTTTGCGCGCTCATCCATAACCTCCTTGGCGTTTCTGTTAAGCTCGCTGTCAGGGTCCAGCTTTCCGCGACGGGCGGCGGCGGCCTCTTCTTTTGTCTGCTTCTTCTTGTTCCATTGGTTCTAGAAGAGATGAATTAGCCTCATCTGTAGGCTGCTGGGCGGGATTGCGCGGTAGATGACAGGTGGTGTGGTTTTCTCTGGGGGCGGGGAGAGGGTGGTTGGTTGATTCGAAGTCAGAAACGTACACTTGTGTCTTCGCCATAGTACATCTTGGCCGGGATAAGACTCAAGAGGCCATCAAAGGCCTTTGCATGGTCGCGCAGGCGATCCTATAGTGCTTGGGTCAGCTTCACGGCTTCCTATTGCCATGCTTGCCGTGCCTTCAAGTTTGGCTGGCGACAGGCGGGGCACGAGGGCAACTGTGAGGACGGACCTGCAGCGAAGATTCGGCCATGATGAGGACGGTTGTATCCGCTATGTTGACTGTGTTTCGGAGACGATAGAGCGGCGAGGGTATCCTGGTTGGGTCCCTATGAGGCTCGTCGTGGTTGTTCGTGAGGTTGGAGAGAAAGCTCGGAAGGCGATTTGGCCGACGTCGATTTTTTTGGGGACTCTAGTGATTTTTTTTTCTCTGTCCAGTCCCTTCCGTTTTGGTCCAAACGGGCTTTGTGGGGAACCACGGCCGCCTACTCCACCCCTGTACTTTAGCTTACTGCCGCCTCCGCCTCGACACAGACGGGGATAGTCTTCAAGGGTCTTGAGCAGAAAATCTATGATGGTTACAATCATGGAAGATGGCGAGGGCTGCAATTATTGTTCTTTTCGGTATGTGTAAATTTATCTTCCAGTAGAAACTACTGACATTCAACTCAGCTCATACACCCCAAGTATCATATTCTCGCCTTCATTGTGGTGATTGACGACATTGAAACAAGTCTATGTCGAGACGAAAAGGAATGCATCAATAATGTCTTAGAACCGAGCCGGAATAATAACATCATATCAATATTAGCTATGAACATCAAAAGCTGCAAGTGTCTTTCATGCCCTTGCTACCAATCCGTGCCGCCTCTATGCGTCTCACATTGAGGGGGCATATCAGAGCAACACCAAGACTGGAACATTGACTACGACGGCTCTATTGAACCAGCCCAATATCTCTCCAAAATCAAAGTAGGCCCTTCTTAGTGCCTATCTACAAACCTTTCCATATTAGCGTTAAAGAACACTTCCATCTTCTAATTAGCCTCACATGTCACCCTTCAGTAACCAAAATCATGCGAGAAAAAAGATAGTCATCATTTCATGTCGCTATACGCTTTTAGAAAAGCGAGCCGATCACCATGTAGCATCGGCAACTCATGCATCAATGCCATGAAAGCCGCAATCCAATGCAACGCAATGCCAAACAGAAACCAGCTGATAACCAACCAAGAGGTCTTCTTCAGTCACGCATCATCGCCATCGCAGCTTTTAGACGGTGCTTCATTTCTTCTTTCCCTTCTTGGCGGCGGCCGTCTCCTTCCGACGAGCCTCCTTGGCCTCGAACTCGGCCTTCTTGGCCTTTTCCAGTGCTTCCTTCTCTTCACGCTCAGCCTGTTACCAAGTTAGTAAAGGATCGTGGACCGGCTAGGCCAAATGATGGGACTAAAAGACTCACCTGTCTTCGGGCAGCATCGAGAGCGCGCTGCTCGCGGATGGCCTTGAGACGGGCCAGATCAGCCTTGGCCTCGTCTGTCTTGCCCTGAGCTGTCAGGCGCATATGTCTCTCCTTTGCAGCAGCCGCTTCCAGAGCCTCGCGCTCACGTCGAGTCGGGGCAGCCATGTTGCTGACCCCTTCTGTGATCTCCTCAACACCCGCCTTGGTCTGGTTGCGAGCCTTCTTAGAGTGATTGGGGTTGGCGGGCATATCGTCATCGTCCTCGCTATCCTCTTCGCTGTCGTCGTCATCGTCGTCGCTCGAAGGCATGTCGCCAACCTCGACAGTCTTGGCTCTCTGCTTGGCTATGGCTGCCTCTTTACGAGCCTTTTTCTCGGCCTTGCGGTCTTCGCGTGACTGTTCCTGGGTTGGTGCGGCGGAAGGACCAGGGGCGTCGTCGTCAGAGTCGCTATCTTCTTCTTCGGTAGTCTCGTCCTCGGTGGTCTCGTCATCTTCGCTGTCGTCGTCGTCATCGTCGTCCTTGTTTTTGGCGTCAACGCTCCACATGCTGATCTCGTTGCCATCGGCGTCAACGGGACGAATGTCTCGCGAGAATTTCTTGCCACCTAGGTCGTGGTTAGATTCGCTAGGTCAAAAGCAGTAGACAGTGAAAGAGTAAATGCCAAACAAACTCACCTCCTCGAGCGGGCTTTCGAAACTTTCCTCCGCGACCGCGAGAGCTCGTTCCAGGAGCACCAACCATCTTGGGCGATTCGAATGATATAGGTGAAGGAGGAAAGAGGGTCGGATGCTAGTATCGATAACTTGTAGTCGTATACGAAGCTTTATACGGCGACGTCGGTTACTAATGAAAGCGCCAAGTCTATCGTTGTTGGAGTTGTTGGGTGTCGATGTTGGTGTTTGTTTGCTGATCAAACTTGACCGGAGGCGGGGTAGCGGGGTAGCTAATGACGGCAGCTTCCAGTTTTAATTCCTATGGACGGATGTGCGTGAAGGGAGGCAAGATCAAGGGGTCGGATGTTTGCCGATCAGGGATTGATCAGGGTCAGGAGTGACAATGCGTCACTTGATAGAGCAGGCGTGACAGGGATGGGAGAGATTCGCGAGTAGGTGAAAAGGTTGATGGTGGTAAGAAAACAGTTGGATAGGTATCACAAGATAGGCAAGCCAAGAGACATACACAATGTGAAAGGAACACGAAAGAAACCCAGTCCAAGGAAACCTCCAAAAGCAATATGGACCAAGAGTGTGACTCAACTCAGATGCAACATGAGCCAAAGAGCATCACGGAACCCCCTATGGATGTGAGCTGACTGTTGGCAGAGGCAGAGCAGCCTAACGAGCCCACTGTGAACAAGCCCTGTAGGGACCATCAATGGAAAATCCACCATCTCTAGAGCCCGCTGCGCGAATGGGAGGGCCCCTGTTTGTCGTGGTTTGATCCGCTCTAGAGAGGGGCTTGCGTGCTTTCAACGAATGTCAATGTGCCATTCTTGTCCATCAGGCACACGACACAAAACGGGATGTGCTGCAGAGCACAAGAAGAAACCTGGATCCTTGACTCACCGCTGGCGCATAGATAAGTACCTTCCTGGAAGAGCCAAGTTCTGTCACTGTTGGGCTCTGTTTGGGCCATTCATTCTGTGGTTTCTTGCTGTAGTTGAAACACGGGCAGTCCGTAGAGAGAGGAAGATTTTAGGGATAATCATTGAAACTATCCATTTTGAAGCATAAACGAAAGAGAAAAAGAAAAATCAATAATTCTAGTTAAAGATCAAGTCCTGACATTGTTAGAATGTTATCCAACTTCATGATCTCTCCCCCATCTCGCTTCCAAGCAAACCCACACCTCAAGTAATCACGGCACATTAATTCTCCGCCCTCCGCCGCACCCCACTCACCGCACAGAACAAAACCACGACGAGTCAACCTCTCTTTTGAACTTTTTCTTTCCTTTCTTCTTCAACCTACTAGAAAAACTGAATCCTTCAAATTCACTCTGGCATTTCATTTCAATGGATGCGACGGAGGGGAAACTGGAGGAAAGAGAATATTACGTCCGCTGACTTACCCTCTGCCCTGTTTTGCGGCTTCGGCTGCGCGTTGGGGGGGAGAAATTTTGACGCGGCACATGCCTTCACCAAGACTTTCGAGTTTTTGTTTAGGAGGCAATGTCCAACGTAGAATACACTCGTAGATGGCAGATTGCCAGTCTGTTCGCCACCTCAAAGCAAAGTTGGCGAGCATGGCTGCCACGAGGCATCAAGGCTATGATGCAGACCTTTTGGCCAAGCACCTCGGCGCATCGTGAGCCATATTCCCAACTCTTGAGCGGCTGGGCATCCGTCTCCGGCCTGCGAGGGATGCGTCCATGTCGTATTGGCTGGCTTCTATGGATGATCTTTGTTGATGTCCCTCCGTGGTACGGATACTGTCACTAAGTTCTACACGGCGTGCCGCGAACATGAATTTCCAATAGGTATTCGTCGTTACGGATACACTGTCTGCTCCAACATCCAACCAGTGTTCAACAAGACTGAGAAGCAACGACAACTCAAATTCTACCTGTAAGCCTGGGTCCAAGAATTTAGTTATTCCAACCCAACGCATATCCATAGCCAAAGGTAATCCTATCACCTCCATCACCATGGTGTTCATGCCCAGGTAGTCAAACACTCAATCAAAACAACCCTTCTTCCAGCCCAAAGGTAAACACTGAAGCAATCATGCTCTCTCCCATATTCAAAATTCAATCGAGGCATTCTCCTACTTTGGCCCAGCCGCTTGTCGCTCTCGTCGTCGTCTTTCTCGCTCTCTCGCAGCCGCAATCTCAGACACTCGGAACATGATATAACCGATCTCGTCAGCCTGCTTCTGGTCCATGGGCACGCCAGCGATGTTACGGAGACGTGCTGCCCGCCACCTTGCCAGTTCCTGATAGTACTTTGGAGTGCCTCTCTCGAACATGGTGCTGAACCAGAGTCGCGAATCCCAATGGATTGCCCTGATCTCGGACCTGTGTTGCGGGCTAAGCTTGGCGAAATCTTCAAACGGTACCGGATTCTTCCAGTCAACAAAATTGATAAAGTGTGCTGGTGAACGCTTTTCGGTAGTTGATTGGGCTTTTGACGCTCCAAAAGTCTGGTTTGTCCTGTCGTCGACAACGCCCTCCGATGGTTCGACGAACGGGACATACCCGTCAGTATTCACCTCTATTTCCGAGCTTGCGGATCCGACGTGAGTAAAGGAAAGCTCAGAAGTGTCGGTTTGATCTTTCGGGGAGTGTTCAAGATCACTCGAGGATATCTGTGTCTGCATAGACGAAGTCAAGCTAGGGGTGCTCGATGGGCTCAAGGCGGGCCATGGGTTGTCCTCCACAACCGGAAACTCTGACATGTAGCTCTCCGGGGGTAGTTCCTCTTCTTCTTCAGATGTATCGGACTCGTCCGTCAGGTAGCCACCGTCACTCGATAGGAGGTAGTCGGGCTCTTCTGCCAAGTCGTTGTTGAAGTAAAATGTTGCAGCATAGGGGCCAGGAAAGTCGATGCTAGCGAGAGGTTCGTCGTTATTGAAGGTAGTTTTGCTTGCCATGGTGTAGGTATATCGCAAATGCAATGCGGCGAGGAATAGCTGGAGATTGTATAAAAGACGTGATGGAATGTGTTGTTCCTTAGTTGTGACGTGAAGATCCAGGACTTGATAACTTGGTAGATAAAGTGCGAAGAAAGAGTACCTAGGTAGGGAGAAGTTCCAAGGTTCCTGCCATTATAAAGATGTCTGTATCTGTTGGGGAAGGATGTTTCGGGCAGTGCCTTGTTGCAATCGAAGTGTTGAGCTTGTTTACGAGGAAACGACCATCAACTCATATCCATCCGAGAACGCCCAGTTGTTAAACTTTTCCTCTGTTGGTCATGCGCAGTGAGGCGCAGGGATGCTTAATCTCAATAATTTCTGGACATTTCATAACTCAAACTGAGTTTCAGAGTCAGAGTCGAGATATACCTCCATCCAGAGATCCTGGGAATGGCCTGTTCTCATATTCACAGCCAGCAACACAAGGTCTACCCATAAACGACATAGAAGTAGACCTGAGCGTAGCAGTCTTCGGATGAGATATTCATCAAGTTTCCAACAGAAACACTGCCGAACCTATGTCGTTCATGACGGTCAGCGGATGTATTAGATTTAGAGTCATCTGCAACAAGGGTCCGTACCGACAAAGTATAACCAACTCTCGCAAGTTAGGTCTGCCACATAGTTCAAATATCAATTTTGAAAACGCCTCTGCCCGCCTACTTCGACATGGCTTGCAGGACATCTTCCAGCCTCCTCTTCTTGTGCTTCCGCAACGCCAGCACAGGAGCCGCTCGCTCCGAGGCCACCAGGCTTGGGCCCTTCTTAGGGATCGGCTTTGGCTTTGGTTTATCTCCTCGGATAACAGAATCTCGTGTGAAGGTGTACTGCCCCGTCGCGAACAGCCCCCGACTTACATATGACGGTCGAGTGTTGATACCGGATCCGCGAGTGCTATGTCCTAGGTGGAGACACGCGAACGGCCGCGAAGGCAGAATGAAGGGCCCGGCAACAGCTTTTTGGGGTGGGAGGGCGCCGCGAGCTTGTAGGTCTCGGTCTGAGCTGAGCTGGCCGAGAAACGAGTAGAGCCAGAACGCCCAAGGCTCAAAGGCCACGCCGTGACATGCTCTAGCTTCGCCAGACGCAGCATGAATATCCCATGAAGGTGCCCGCACCTTTGCCATGTCGGTGAGATAGTCGAGGAGTGGTGGCGCTTGGCGATCTTGAACGAACTTAACGGCACATCTAGAATCACCGCATAGCGAGACGAGGTCGTTGTCGATTCTCGCAGCAAGGTCACTAAGACGATGCGTCCGCGCCTCCTCCAACGGTGCAAACAGCATCAGATAACGTAATAGCGAGTCCTCCAGCCCAGAAACCTTTTCGGCCTGCTCCCAGCCATGCTCCAGCGCAGCCTCTTCACTCTGCTTCCAGTCCTCCCTCGCACCCATGACATCGTACAGCGCGAGCGAAGGGAACTGCGACACCCACTGCAACGACTTCTTGGTTGTGGATTGGTCGCCCCATATGCGGAGTATGCGAAGCAACGGGAACGGGTCGGACTTCTCGGTCCACCCCCGGACCAGGCGGTCCGAGACTTGCGGGAAGATGGTGCGGAGTTCATCAGCGGGTTGGATGAGCTCGAGGGCGCCAAGATTGGGCATATCGGCAAGGCAAAGCAAGTCGTGTGTGTTGAAGGAGCACCCGCCTGTTAGAACGAGGTGGGTGATGAAGTCCGTAGGTGGTGCCGTTAAGGGCACAGTGTAGCGGGTGAGCTCATTCCCAGGACGGCAAATATGTTGACGGAAGCGATAAAGACTTAGAGTTTTATCATCTTCTGCCTCCAGGAACAACTTGGAGAAGAGTTTCCAGGCGTGAAGGCATTCACCTCTAATAAACTGTCAGTTTCTTGCATGTCTTGGCTATCCCGAGATATCCGCCACTCACCTCGCCTCGAGGAACCGCCATATGCGCCACAACAGACGCGGTGGGAGATCCTCAAGATCTGCCACCGAGCCCACCGATCCGATGTTGTCGGCGACTACCTTGATGACCATGTTTGCCAAGGACCGAGGCCCCCGGACGCCGCGGGCGGTAACGGCGGGATACCGGCGTCGACGGCTCCAGTCTGCCGCGTCTCGATCCGCCTCGGTGAGTGCGTCGCGCGACAGGACATATTCCTTAAAGACCTGGCCTGTTTCCTGATCAAACGTGGCGGCCATGATGGAATAAGGTATTTCAAGAAACCATGGGATTATGCCAAGGGAGATGGGCTAAGCTGGGGTTGGAAAGATGGTGAATGAGGAGGTGCAAGTGGTCGGATTATTTGGTGCTGAGGCGGTGGATTGATTATCACAGTCTCAGTCAGGCCCTTGCAGCATCACTGCCACGACCACGTCGGCTTTGATTTATAATAGAGGATTTTTGAACAAATCAATCAATCAATCATTGCCAATTTTTCTCATTTTTGTTCATTTTACTCGTCTAATTGATTTCACCCATGACGGAGATGCCGACTTTGACTATAATCGTCGGTTCCTGCCATTTCCTTTTTAAGAGGCCCATGCAGGAACAACCGACGCCATTCAACAGCGGTCGCCCTGTGATGCCATGGCTTCAAGCCATTCACCTCATCTCAACGCTGAAGCTTCCAATATTTTAATATACCCGGGTAATTCTTCTTCAGCTGGCAATTATCCAAAAACATGCTCGTGGTATCCAATTGCAACGTCTCTACTCATATACACCCTCTACAGCATGGGCTTGAGGTCCTCGGCCACGGTGAAGGGAGCTTCCGTCTTGCTCTTGACCTCGTCGACAGTGACGCCATCTGCGATCTCGATAAGGGTCAGGCCATGGGCAAAGTCAACGTCAAAGACACCCTGCGTTATAGTTAGCATCGTGTCATAGCCAACGCAAACTCGTCTTCACTTACAAGCTCAGTGATGATTCTTGACACGCACGCCCGTCCAGTCAAGGGGAACGCGCACTGCTTGACAATCTTGGGGTTACCCTTCTTGTCTGTGTGCTCCATCGTCACCACAACCTTGGTCTCGCTGGGGTTGCTGACAAGATCCATGGCACCGCCGAAGCCCTTGACCTTGCCTGGAAGCATCCAGTTGGCAAGATCGCCAGTACCGCTGACCTGCATGGCACCCAGGATGGTGAGGTTGATGCGGCCGCTGCGGATCATGCCAAAGCTCTCTTCGCTGCCAAACACGGCAGCACCAGGCTTGAGGGTCACAGTCTCCTTGCCAGCGTTGATCAGATCGGCGTCCTCATCGCCCTTCTTGGGGTAGGGACCCAGGCCCAGGATACCGTTCTCGGACTGGAGCTGCACCTCGACCTCGGGGCCAACGAAGCCGGGAGCGAGCATGGGCATACCGATACCCAGGTTAGCGTACATGCCGTTCTTGAACTCCTTGGCAGCACGACGCACGATGCGCTCTCGCTTGGCCGCAGTATCGCCAGTACCGAGGGCCTTGGCGGTCGCAGGGTCGCTCTCATCCTTGGCCCAGGTGTACTTCTCAATAGCCTTCTCCTCAGTGCTCTGGATGACACGCTTGACGTAGATACCGGGCAGATGGACGGCCTCGGGAGGGATCTCGCCAGGCTCAACGATGTGCTCGGCCTCGACAATGGTCATCTTGGCGTTGCGGCCCATAGCACCGTTAAAGTTGTGCGCGGCGAGGCGGAACTGGCAGTTGCCGAGCTTGTCGGCCTTGTAAGCCTTGACGAAGGCATAGTCGCCGTCAATGCTGTGCTCGAGGAGGTATGACTTGCCCTTGAAGACCTTGACGTCCTTGGGGTACGAGTACTCGGCGGGAGAGCCATCGGCGTTGTTTCGTAGGGGAAGATCGCCAGTCTGAACAACGGTTCCAAAGGCGGCGGGGGTGTAGAAGGCGGGCACTCCCTTACCGCCAGCGGCGCATCGCTCAGCGAGGGTACCCTGGGGGGTCAGCTCAAGCTCGACCTCACCGGTGAGGTACATTGACTCAAATGTCTTGTTCTCGCCAATGTAGCTAGCAATCATCTTGCGGATCTGCTTCGTCTTCAGAAGCTGGCCGAGACCCGAGTTGTCGGTACCGGCGTTGTTTGACACAGCTGTGAGGCCAGTGATCTCGGGCTTGTTCATGACCTCGTTGATGAGCGAGTCGGGCACACCGCAGAGACCGAAGCCACCGCAGAGGAGTGTCGTGTTGGGCTTCATGTCCTTGAGGGCCTCCTTCGCGGAGGGGAAGACCTTGTTGATCTCGGCGCGGCGAGAGGTGGCCGAGAAGGATCGCGCGAGGACGGCATTGGGCTTAGGTGTGTCAGTACTGCTTCAGGAGCTCACAATTCATATAGACATGAAAGAACCTACATTGGAAGCATTTCGAGCAAAGGCTCGGAGAGTCCTTAACCGGAAAGCGGCGGAAGGCATCTTGTGAGTTTATGAGGGGATGAAGATAGAGGGGTAGAGGTCGAGGGTAAGGCGGGAATAGCTTCAGGATGGGTCCCCCTGTCGGCTATGGGTCGTGGTCGTCTTGAACAGCTGTGTGATCAATTGCGCTTCACACACTAGTATTCACCTCGCGAGCAGCAACAGCAAGGAAGTAATAAGACGAGACGAGACCCTTGACAAGCTTGAGCCGACAATGACGATGGTAATGGATGGACGCGGGCCGTTGGCGGGGGATTCCCGTTTATTAAGGCCGGCACTGGCCGCAAGCTTTCACGGAGTTTTAAACATACAGCCAGGGACCTAGGCAGGAGGAGCATGGATTCCGCTCCCCTCTCGCATCCGCACGGCATGGAAACTTCGGAAGCGAAACTCGGCATTCGGGGCCGCTTCCGTCGACTGCCAAAAATCATGTCCGTCAACGCAACGGCTGCCGGGTAGTGGCCAGCTTGTGAATGCAGCGGGAAGTGGAGGCCCCTCCTCCTCTCTCCAACCAACTGTCCAGCCCGAGGATGATTTGAATGATGCCGATGGGCTAGACGCCGCCGCCCATTCAGTTAGCGGCCAGCGGGGGTTCAAGTCCGGGGCAAAGCTGTCAGTGGGGGATCGGACCGCTGCTTCTTGGCGGGTAATGGGTTTTCCGCACTGGCCGGCTATTCGTTTCGGGAGTTGTCATGATGCTTTTCGACAGAGCACTTTGCTGGAAATGACTAGTTGGACGTGTTTCGGAGGTCAAGCAGCTCGGTCTTCAGTCACCGTTGATCTCGGGTGGAAATCAAGTCCTATTAGTACTATTTCTCTGAATTGACACTCTGTGTATGGTCCGTTCCCCGTTCCGTCCGCTTTCCGAACCGAACAATCCTTGTGTGTGTGTGTGCGTGTGTGGTTTGTTCAACTCCCGCGTCAACGCCTTTCTCCCATGTGACCGTGATATTTCCAAAACGCCAGTTAACCCTCCAACCCCTAGATGCTTTAACACAATGACTCCGTATACGATACAATTCTGGCAAAATGATCGTTCGTTATGAACGTCATGAACAAAAACAAGACAAAACACCGGGTATTCCTTTATCCCCCACTGTTAACTCAACCTGCCACCGTCTAAGCGGCATTGGCATTTTCCGGGTGCAGAGAAATAAGTCCTACCAGGTTTCCCTCCGTATCGATAAACTCTCCAACGTCCATGATGAACTGTCGGATGCCATATCGCAAGTGCTTGACCTCGCCAAAGTTCTGCTCGATCAACTCCTCAGCGTCGCCGAGATCGGGGACCCGGAGGTGGCACGTCGGTGTAGCGGCGCCAAACCTGGCCATCTGCCGCTTGTGCTCGAGCCGGGCTTGGCTGTCCGGCGTGGTTCTCATCTGGACCAAGGCGCCCGTGATCTTGAGCTGGCCCTTGTCTTCGCTCGAGTTGAAAAAGTTCATGGGCTGTACGTCGAAGAAGGATGATCCCCACTGTCGCTTACTGGGGTCATCAATCTCTCTCGCGTTCATGTCGCCATAGAATTTCCATCCAAAGCAACGGGAGTAGAAGTCTGCTGCCCGTCGGATGTTGAAGCAGTACAGGATGAGAAAGTCTGGGGTACCGCCAATGACCGGGAGTCGAGGTTTCTGGCTGGGGGGTGTGGGAAGGTATTGAGGCTCAGTGTCCAAGTCGGTCAAATCTCGAGGCTCGTCGAACTCATAGTAACTGTCATGGGAGTCCATCGCACAGAATGACTCTTTTGGGAACGAAGGGGATGCCCAGCCATTTACAGGGTTCCTCATATCTGGTTGCTCCATGATGGATAGTCTGCCTGCTGGCTCACTACCCTTGACGACTGCAAAAGCGGAGGAAAAGATCGGGGGCGTGGTCATCTCTGTTGTAGGAGTGCTGAGCGAATCGTGGCCTAGAGATGGTACTGGCGATGGCGTCCTTCGAGAGGCATCTACATCCATGGCTGACGGCGATAGAGAAAGTGATGATGGGTGGTTCACGAAGGAGTCCATGACTGAGTTGATGAAGAAGGAATGACACCAAAGAAATAATGCTGACTTGTCTGAAACTCAGGACTCGATCGATGAATCTCTCTCGATAAGACGTCAAAGAAGCAAGGCGAAAGGCCGTGAGGCAACAGTCTAAGACAAACTTCAAGATAAGTAAAGTGACGCGACAAGGCGAGCTGAGAACAAGCAAAGCCGAACCAGTCCGTGGCCAAAAGATGACTTCAGCTGAGAAGCCTCACCACGGATCCTGGCAAGGCACGTCTCGCTCTTATAGCCGGAGCCAGGGTGTTGCCAGCTTCCTCCCTACAGGCCGCGTGCTGCCAAAAGCAAAAGAACTTGGAGACTGAGACTCAGACTCGAGAAGCGGAACCTTGGCGTCTGTGCATCCAGGCCAACTCCGGGTAAGTGGTATGGAGGTTGAAGCAAGGAGAGGGCGAGACATCAAAATCAAAACACACACACACAAGAACCCAAAACGCGAAGTGGTTCTGCGTCAGGGCCGATTCAAGAGCCAAAGACGTCAAGGGCGGAAGAAACCTGCAGCGAGCTAGGCTAGGCCAGGCACATGTATGTAGGAAACTGACGCGACTGCTGCGTGCTTTTTCTCTTGTCTTCTTTTCTTTGCTTGCTGAGTCTTGACGCCATCTACATGTATGTCTGGGGGAGCCGTTCTATCCCGCTTCTTAGCTCTGCTGCCTGTACTCGTGTTTTTGTTATCGATGCTGGTGAGAGCTTCATCACTTTTTGCTGGAATGGTAAACAAAGGGAAAAGTCCCCGGCGGCCCGCAAGATGACCCAGCCTCTGTCTCAACAGACGGCTGTACCTAATTTACCCGCATTGTTTAGACGAGGTCGGTTGCTTGTGAAAATGAACTTGTCTGGTTGTGAATAGCCAAGGTTGACAATGTCTCAGGTCCCAAATGGCTCCCACGGCTGGCGATCCCTCCCAATCGAGACGAGGACGGCACAGAAGCGGCTGTCAGGTGGATCTCGGCTGGGCCTGAGCGTGCTGCAAGGCGTTGCACGTCTATGTTTGACAGTTTAGCTAATGGAAGCAAGGGCTGCTTGATGTGATGGACCAGGTGATTCTAGGAGCTGGTAGCTGCATATTGCAAGCGCAGGGGCAGACGCCGGTCGCGTATTTGCTCTGGGCAAAAGAGGTCAAGATCGGATCCGTAAAGTAAGGGACTTTGAGACTTGACGATAATAATCCTAGCTTCGGTTCCGATGCGTGATCAGCGTTTTGCTAAGAAATGACGCGTTGTGAGAGGTTCCCATCCCATCCTTTGCTGCAAGGACTCTCAAGCACTTTCCTTTCTGGTTACGTTGTGGTACGTGCCCGCTTATCGCTGATAAGCTTCCAATACCGATAAGCCCGATTGGGATCTTATCGCCCCGCATGCGCGAGACGGAGGAAAAAAAATTACCTGCGAAACCCAAGCAGAGAAATAGTGGCAGCCTCAACACCAACGATTCTTTGACGGAAACTGCCATTACTCGGCCGGCGCAACAACCTCCTTCGATATGGAGTCTAGTTCGAAACGCCGTAAGCTCGATCATTCCGGCCCCGGTCTGAGACACGATGGTCTCATCGACTTTGAAGCCAGGAGCTCTGCGCGAGTCTCAACTGCCAGCACTTTCGTCCTCCAAACCGATGAGCTTCTCAAGGAAGCAAAACTCGACTATAGCAAGGCATTGAAGGGTGTTGATGCGCATCTGCACCGCTTGAAGGAGGCTATCGACTCTGCGCCTCCTCACGATGCTCTGCCTGTTCGTTCACTTGAACCCATTAACGAGTTTAGAACTAACATATCTTCCAGATTGCTGAAGCTACGGCCAGCTTCGAGAAGAAGCATCGCGTCGTCGTTCCCTATCCCGAGCCGAGACCCGCCAAGGGTGCGCCTTACAAGTTATCATTTGCCAAACCGGCCCAGTACAATGTCGTCGGCAGCTACGTCGCAAAGACCATGGTCAAAACCCAGGCCCAATTCGGCATCGACATGGTCATCCAGATGCCCAAGGCCATGTTCCAAGAAAAGGACTACACAAGCATGCGATACTTTTACCGTCGAGCGTACTATATCGCCTATGTTGCCGCGCACGTCAAGAAAGAGTTGGGTGCAGAGATGGACCTTGGATTTGAACTTCTCAACGAGAATCCCCTCCTGCCTGTGCTCACTCTTCGACCCAAGCCCGAGGAAGAGGAGGAACCCAAGGAGTCAAAAGGCAAGACTTCTAAGAAGAAGGCAAAGGCGCCAAAGTCCTCCTATGTCATTCGAGTTATCCCTTGCGCTCCTGATGGACTCTTCCCCAAGTCAAAGCTCCTCCCGACCTCGAACAACAACAAGAGCGGCGAAACGGACGACAAGAAGACCCAATTGAGCACCCCTTTTTACAACTCTACTCTCAAGGCAGAGGAGACGTTCATCTCATACCTGCGAGTTCTCACACACGCCAAGAACGAGTGTCCGGCTTTCCCTGATGCCTGTGTCCTTGGCAGGATCTGGCTGCAGCAGAGAGGCTTTGGAAGCTCCGTGTCTCAGGGTGGCTTTGGACATTTTGAGTGGTCTATAATGATTGCTCTCTTGCTTCAAATGGGCGGACGAAACGGTCAAGCAGCACTGTCGACATCTTTGAGCAGTACCGAGTTGTTCAAGGCTACTGTTCAGTTCCTTTCAACCACCGACTTCAACAAGAAGGCCTTTGTCTTTGGATCTTCCAAGATAAGCCCTGATACTGTCAAAGAGTCTGGCCCGGTCATGTACGACCCGGTGCGAGAGCTTAATGTTCTGTCAAAGATGAGCCCCTGGTCAGCTAGTCTCCTGCAGATGCACGCCAAGTCTACCACCGATCTTCTTGCCGACGAAGCCGCCGACAAGTTTGAGCCGACTTTTATTGTCAAGTCGGATGCCCCTCTGCAGACCTTTGATGCCATCTTTGAGATCAAGACTCATGATCTTTCCAAGGCCTCCAAGTCCCCTGACCGAAGAGGGCCTGCCTGGGATTTCAGCCTGGAGGCGCACAAGATTCTTAAGAAGGCCTACGGCACTCGAGCCCAGCTTGTGCATTTCCAGCTGCCCTCGAGAAAGGCCTGGTCACTGAGCTCCTTCCACCCTTCAGATTCAGACAAGGTTCTTTTTGGGGTCATGTTTGAGTTTGCTCAGATGTCTCGCCAAATGGAGCATGGTCCTCCCGCGGAGGAGCAAAAAGACGCTGCACGATTCCGGCAATTCTGGGGTGAGAAGGCTGAGCTGCGCAGGTTCAAGGATGGAAGTATCCTTGAGTGTATCGAATGGACGAGCAAGCTTCCTTTCCAGATTTGTGAGGAGATTACTGCCCACATCTTGAAGCGACACCTCAAGATTGTCAAGGAGGAGATTATTCCCTTTGGCGCGGGTTTCTCTAGCGTCATCGCCTTGTCTCACATGGATAAGGAGGCATTTGATGCAGCTCAACGGGCGTTCCGGACTCTTGAGCATGATATCCGGAATCTGGAGGACCTGCCACTGCAGATTCGCCAGCTTTCACCAGTCTCTCCAGCCGCCCGCTATGCCTCGATCGACGCCCCGATGCCTGGGTTTCATCAGGGAACGATTGAACCTATTGATGTGAACCTCTATTTCGAGGCCTCAAGCCGATGGCCAGAGAACCTCATTGCGATCCAGGAGGCTAAGATTGAGTTCCTCCTCGACTTTGACAGGCGGCTGAACGCTGCTAAAGACAATATTACGACCTATCTCGGCCGAGAGAATCAGGAAATCGGTATTGAAAACCTGGCTTACCTCGATATCGTGTATAACTCTGGCGCATCCTTCCGACTGAGAATTCACTGCGACCTGGAGGCGACCCTGTTGGAGCGTCATATCAAGAACAAGACCCTGGACCAGCATGTTCGTGAAGAGTCAGAAGCTGCTTTCGCCAGGTTCAACTGGCTCTTCACAACCCTGCCTATTCATACGCAAACCATCTCGACTTTCTGCACGAGACTTCACTCTCTATCTCAGACCATTCGTTTGGTTAAGCACTGGTTCAACTCCCACAAGCTTTCGGGTCACATCAGTGAGGAGCTTATTGAGCTCTTTGTCCTGCACGTATTCCTCCAGCCTTACCCCTGGCGGGCACCCTCAAGTGTTTCGACTGGTTTCCTACGAACTCTGACTTTTCTGTCCCGCTGGGACTGGCGCGAGGAACCCTTGATTGTCGACTCAGCCGAGGAGCTGACCAACGATGATCGTTCCACGATCCACAAGGAACTTGAAGCCTGGCGGAAGCGAGACCCTAACATGAACCACACCGTCATGATCGTTGCCACCTCCAATGATCCTTCTGGCCTTGCGTACACTCGCAACGGTCCTTCTAAGCTCGTCGCCTCGCGCATGACGCGCCTTGCCAAGGCTGCTTGTAAACTTGTCAAGGATGAGGGGTACCATCTTGATGTCTCTCAGCTCTTTGACACCTCCCTTGAGGACTACGATGTTCTCTTCCACCTCTCTCGCAAGGCCATTCGCTCTATTCTCCGAGAAGCTGCGTCTGACCCATCTGCCCGCCGCCACTCCCAATTCAAGAACCTCGACGATCGCACCGGTCGCGCACCTCTACCTATCCGAGCTCATCCTGTCGATGTTCTCATGCAGGAGCTACAGCGTGCGTACGAGGACACACTTGTGTTCTTCCGGGGGACGAACAATGGCGAGGAGGACGACGCTGTTATTGGCGCCATTTGGAACCCGAAGCTGCAACAGCAAAAGTTCCGCGTTGGTCTGCCATACAACTTCAGCAAGGTTGCCGGTGAGGATGACGACGTCGTCGAGGTAAACCGCAAGGCGGTGTTGTTGGAGATTGCGAGGTTGGGTGGCGAAGTGATCAAGAAGATTGAGGAAGTTGAGTAGACATATAGAGAAGCGGATTTATATAATTGGACAATACCCATGAATAGACTGGACAAAAGCCTTGAACCTTTGATAAATGTAGTTGCTCTGCCGGCGTTGTTCCTTCACAGGCTG